GGTGTTATGCACAAACAATGAATCATGGAACACTTCATCTAAAACTAATGATGTAATGTATGGGGATTAACATAAGAATAAAAAAAAAAAAAGAAAAGAAAAAAAAATGGGAGGGTTGTACCAGATTAGCATTTTCCAAGGTATGCTTTTTCAATAGTTTTTGAAAGATGTTTTATGGAGAAAAGATGCCCCACTCAATTTTTTCTCATTGGAGATTCACAGTTTAAGTGTATCGATGGCCTAATTGATTCCAGTGTTTTTACTTTAATCCATTATACTGCCACATTCCTCTGTGACCAAAGATAGATTCTCCTTCTGAGACTCAGTTTCCCCAGCTGTAACCTAGGACTGGAGTAGAAGTGCCCAAACTTATTCTGTAAAGGATCAGACAGTCACTATTTTAGGCTTTGTGGGCCATAGCATCTTTGTTGCAACTACTCAATTTTGCCATTGTAGTCATACACAATACATAAATGAATGAAGGTGCCTGTGTTCCAATAAAATTTTATTTACAAAAAAAAGGCAGAGGGCTGAATTTGACTCATGTACCACTTAGTTTACTGACCTCTGGATCAGAGTGTGAGTTAACTACCCCCCTAATGTCCTTGCAGCTCTGATTGCCCTCTGACCTTCTCCCCTCAATGGTTATTCTCTCCCAAGTTTGAAGTCACCCTTCTCCAAAACTGTTCCTCTGGCCTGCCCTTCCAAAAGTCATCATCATCTTCTTCTTTCAACTTGTCTGTATGTAAGACTGTCTCTGTCTGCCCAGCTGCTCAGATGCCTTCCTCTCAGCTTTGTTTTGTTTATCTTAGTAACTACCCTTCTTTAATCCCTCTGAAGGATTGCTTAGCTGGAATTTGCCTTGTCTTCCTCCCTCAGAGCCTTTGATCTGATGCTTATAAGCATTTGCTGACAGCCAGACAGAAAAGGTGGAGCCCAGATCCCAGGCCCGAGGGCCCAGAGAGTAATGAATGAAGGCTGCATTTATTTGTATTTCTAATTGGCAAGCCCATTTCCAGATCAGCTGCATGTCACTGCAAGCTGAGAGCTAGAGTAGGAGATAACCCTACTTTTTTCTCTCAGGCCTCGGTGCCCAGGGCCCCTGTTTCCACCGAGGCAGAAGCATGCCTTAACTTTACCAGGCTTGGAAGAAGCTGTCATTTGGACCAAGTTCTGCCCCTTATTGCAGGGCCCCCCTGTTTTGCCACTCAGATTATGCATTGCACAAGTTTGAAAACACCATCCATACAGTCTGTGATGTAAATGGAACTCTCTGGGTTGTACAAATCACTTTGCTTTTTCGAGCTTCTTGATATAGCCATAGACTATTCTCTTCTTACGAAGTCTTATGTAGAAGGCCAGTCTTTAAGAGATAAAGTGGAACTGCTCTATTTGAAACTGAGATGTGGGTTTAGAGTTCCATCTGCCCAGTTTCCCTCTTGCCCTCTGCAACCATCTGTCGAAATGTTGCTTGGGATCCATAGAATTCCTCGGAAGGATTTTAGAACCTCTAGACTAGATCATGAATGTCATTGTAGCCATTCAGAGTTCTATAATATTCCTCTTTGACTAAGTCTCAAGTACATCCCTAGCACTATGCTGAACACTGAAGCAGAGGTGGGGAGCTGGAGGTAGGAGTGGGAGACATGGTCCCATCTCTAAGAGCTGATCATATGGTTGGAGAGGTCAGCAGAAAATGGGATGAAAAATATGAGCTTAACAAGGTTAGGGCTTATAAACAGAAATACTTACTCAGAGAAGAAGGGCTAGAGCAAGGAGAAAAGAATTCCTGAAGAGGGTGACATTGGAATGGAGCATTGATTGGTGATAAACATTTTAAGAGGCAGAGGGGAAGAGTAGGGCAGGTGAACAAAGACACAGAGGTGGGAAATGCTAGTTGTATGGATCAGGGGAGACAGCACAGAATGGAGCATGGGTAATTAGATCTCAGTGTGCACATGCGGAAGGCAGAAAAAGAAGTTTGAACAAGGGAACAGATGAGCGCAGACAGAAAGGGGAAATCATTTCTTTTCCACAGGTCCACCTCCTTCTGTCTCATTTACCACTCATAACTGTTTTGATTAGTATTATAACTGCATTTTACAGAATTAATCCTCATAAGCCTTGGGATATTAAGAGACCTTCCCAAGGTACCTTGCTATTATCAAGCAGAATTGGGATTTACATGGAAATTGACTTGACTTCAGCTTGTGTTTCCCGCATTACATGAAACTTCTTGGAAAATATAGGACTGGAGCAAGTTTTCAAAAGAAAGGTAGAATTTGTGTAAATTGACCGTAAACAGGAATTCCTTGTTGGGAAAAATACCTTTGAATATTTACATCTTACAGGGCCCTTGGAGAATCCTCTTATCCAACCAATCAACTTTATTTTTTTTTTTAAAGATTTTATTTATTTATTTGAGAGAGAGAGAGTGAGAGACAGCATGAGAGGGAGGAGGGTCAGAGGGAGAAGCAGACTCCC